CCGACTTGCGAGGTTCCCGATCAGGACGAGCCGTTGCCGTCTGACGATCCCGGGAGAGCCAAGGTGCCGGTGAGATTGTCCTCCATCCGTTTCGTCCCGTACGATTGCGTCCGGGCCAGCGTTGCTCTGTCGTGGCCGGGAGAATTTCGCGATTGGTGATACTCGGGCTGCGTCCCGCTAACGTTAGAGTTTTTGGTGCCCCGGTCGCAACGACAAGCAATACCGGTCCCCGGAGCCTGCAGGGCACAGGTCTCGTTCGTGTGAGTGTGCGTGTGTGTGAGTAGAGACTCGCGATCGCGTTGATTACTTGTCGCCGACCTGGAGATTCGCGGTGTGAGGGTTGCATCGCGCGAGATCACGCAGGGTACGCATGCCGCGGGAATGTCGCGTGAATGCGCGGCGTGAGGGTACGTCGCCGTAGAGCCGTGGCGACCGGGAAATTGCGAACGGCTGTGTGAGTGCCTGCGGTGCCCCGTACCGCTTCCGCCGCTGTCGGTGGCGGGTCTCGTGCGGACGGTGCGTCCCGAGCGAGAATCCTCTGCCGACTATCGCGGCCGGCGCGGTCGGAAGAGAACGAAAAGATCGTCGTCGTAGTTAGCCGTCGGGGACTGCCCGACGTAGAGTTGCACGTCGTTGTAAGGTGGGCCGACCCGTCGGCCCGAGTACCCAGTCTCGCGGGCGAAGCGCCCCGGCCGAGTGTCGCGTGTGCGACGGTATTCGTACCGTTTCCGACGCGCGTGGTCGCTCGCGACTTGAAGAATTGATTGTTAGACGCGTCCCCGCTTTTGAGTAGGGTTTATCGTTAACGGGGAGAATTTCAGCCGTTGGTTGCGGACCGGACCCAAACGTCCCCCCTTGATCTGTGCCGGATTGCGTCGTGTCGCATCAAACACTGTAGCGAATGATTCCCCCAGTCTCGGGGCCTGTACTAGTCTCGCCTACGACGCCGCCCGTTATTGCGGCCACTCAACCGGCTCGTTAACGCCGCTTTATAATAAACCCGATTTTATCTATTTTATTTGGCGAGTTTCTTTTCGTGTACGTCACTCTTCGTGTGTCTCGTCCGTCGTGAGAGTTAATTGTCCCGTCGCCTCTGGAATCTTTTGGTGTCCGTTAACCACCGCCCATCCCCTCTACCGTTAGGCGAGCTAGCCTGCCCGTGACGAAGGCCGATACCGATCGTTCGCGCAATTTCGCGGATATCGCGAAGTGACGCGTGAAAGACCACGTCTGGCGCCCAATCTCCGATTCTCGCGTCGGGCCTTCGGCTTTCAGCACGGTACGCGCGGAGCTACCGACATCCAGTTCCTTCCCGGGGCGTTATCATTTTCCCGCGGAATTCCTTCCCCTTTTTGCCGGCGTCTCGATCCGTCCGCCTCCCGCGCTTCTCGCGCCTGGCGACCGCACTCCCGTCGTCGGCGCGCACAACCGACGAAGATCCGCGCGACGGCGAGAGCGGGACGGCAACGCACGTCCGTCCACGCATAATGGGAGGACGGAAGAGAGATAACGTCGCAATGTATAGATATAGACAGATATATCTATTATCTTTATCTCTATACGCTTCCCTATCTATCCGTACACACACACACACACGTCACGCTCGCTCTATTCTACTCTATTTCTTATTCTATTCGGACCTCCGCTTCTCGGTAGTCTATGTTAATTCCCGTTTGGCTCAGGTGACACCTCTCTCTCTCACTCTCTCACTCTCTCTCTCTCTCTCTCTCTCTCTCTCTCTCTCTCTCTTAATTTTTCTTTTCTTTAATGAAGAAAATAATATCACATTGTTGGTGTGTAGGCATACGAGTATTAGATAATTTGTATAAAGGAATAATTATGGTAATATATCACTCACAGAGTTCGTCAGGCGATTTCATAAGATTCTTAGAAGATCTAGTGGAATTGACTACGGTTAAAGAAAAGTGTACAATGATAGGCGATTTTAATATTGATTTAATGAAAGATTCTTTTTATTCAAATAAATTACGTACTATGATGTTAAGTTTGGGAATGAAACAATACGTCGATAAACTGACAAGGATTACAAAAGACAGTCAAACAATTATAGACCTGGTTTTTACCAACAATGAGGTGAAATTTCAACACTGGGGATTCGCTCCCGTCAGCCGTTCAACGCGAGATACAAACGGAAGAGGGTCAAGCAGCGTTGCAGATGCATCTGGGCCCGCTGAGCCAAAAATATATCGAGGCAGTTCTACGCGGGCCCCCTGCCAAAAAGAGTGGTGTAAAGAGTGACATAGATTTCGTATACGGTGGTATCTCGACAAGGATGGAATGAGGCTCGGCAGTAAACGGTTCGATGTAGACAGCAACGGTAATATAATTCTCGACGGTGTGCGATACAAAGGTACGCCCGGTCTTTACGAGCTGATTTCCAAGAGACTTCCCGACGATGAAGAGTACACGAAGGATGGTCTAAACAAGTACAAGAGCATACTTTTGGCGACGAATGCGCACAGGCGCAATTACAGCGCGCAAGGTCAGAAAATT